CTGCCAGTCCCTACTGCTGCAGTCCCAACCTGGCGGCAGTTTTTCCTCCACTCATTCCTCCTCCTTGGTCTCATTCTCCCCCCCTTTTCTCCCCCTTTTTCCTCCTTTCTCTTTTATTTACTGTTGGGACAAGTGTCCAACAACTATTTCTCCTCTTTCTAGTTGTTGGACCTTTCCCAAGACCTGATTTTGCAATCGGCATATGGCCGTTACACCTCGGACTGCAGTAGTGGCACCCCCAAGGCCAAAGGGGGCTCCTTTTTGCTGCCGCCGCTTCCAGTTCTTAGACCCCCTTGCTCCGATTTTCTCAGGCCATCCCTTTTTCCACGTGGAGCCCTTGGAACTTCGTTTTTCTTGGCCTGGCTGATCCGGGATACTCGTACTGCTGGCCGCCCCCCCCCTTACTGCCGCTACTCCCTCTCCTCTTTCCCGTCGGCACCTCGCGCCGGCGCTTGCCGCGCCGGTGCTTAGCATTTTCATCCGAACCCCCCTGGCCCGGAAGGTCCGTCCACCTGATGTTATGTTATGTTATTTTTGTTGTTGTTGCATTTGATCCCGGGTCCCCTTGGGTCCCCCCAGGTGCCTTCCGTCTTTCCCGCCTCGCGCCCGTCTTCTCCGTTCTGTCGACAATTCCTGTTAGCGCCCTACTTCTCCTCCTTTTCTTATTTCTCCTAGCCCGTCCTCTTCGTCCGATGTCATCCTGGGTGACGACCGGCTCGCGCGTCCCCCATCTTGGGTTGGTTGCCAACTACCCTGTCGACGAGATCTGACCTTCGGCCCCTATCCGCAGCTCCTGACACTTTTTTATTCTGTCGATACCCAATCTGCTAGTGGTTCCGCTGGTGCCGCCATTTTATTTAGGCCCACGCGGTCCCTGGCACTTCGGCCCGCCTGCATTATGTTTTTCCCTTGGTCTCACGCGGTTCCCGGTACTTCGCCCTGCCGGCAACACATCGTCCCCTGGTCCCGCGTGGTCCCCGACACTTTGTCCTGCTGGTACCGCCCCGTCCTTCGGTCCCATGTGGTCCTCGACACTCCTAGCCCACCTGTACCACGTCTTTCCTTGGTGCTCCTGACGTCCTTCCGCCTTACAGCGATCTCCGCTCCCTGCTCCTATTGCATCCCGCATGCTATTCCGTTCCGGTGCCGGCTCCCACCTACCCTGCGGTCTCCTTGGCCCTCCTGCCACCGCGTCGCGTCATCGCCTTTCACCCTGTCCCTTCCCACTTCCTTCCTTTCCTTGCTGCGGACCTCCTATGCTACTACCGACTTCCCAGCGGCCCTTCTCCGTCCTTGGGGAAAGAGTCGCCCCTGCTATTCTCTCACAGTCCTTTGCCGCTTCCGGCTTAGACAACCCCTTTCTAGTTTGGCGGCCCCGACGAGTCTGGGCAGCCTCTGGCTTCCTACTGTCCGTGCCCATGCTTCCACTCTTTCCAGCATTCCCGCCTCTGGTTTTCTCTGTCGTGCACAAATTGGTCATATACAGTCTCTCGAGTGACGGGAAACCATTCGGGACTCACCAGTCCCGACATATTCCCCCAACTCATTCGCGATGTCCTCATCACGCACCAATCCATGGTCAGTAGGAATTTTGGAGTGATAGACAGACAGGGAGGAGAAGTGGGGTGGGATGGGTAGTTAGCTTGCCGGGGTTCTTTTTGTCTTTCCCACTCTTTTCTCAGGTTTTTCTTTTAAGTTTCCGCCCTTGGGGCGGGGGAGGCTGTGGAGGGGTCAAGGTTTTGTTTCGGGTTTCCTTTGGATTGCGTAACGTCCCCAAGCTCAATAATGTCTTTGTAAGGAGCGCGTAACACTTTTTGTGCATCAACGTCCGTCTCACAGCTGTATCTCTTTCTCACTGGAACTCCCAAATACCCAAGAGCCTCCCAACAACCTCCGGTATCGTCCCACAAAAGAGAGGACGACGAGCCCATCACCCCCCCTAGGGACCGCGGTAAGAGGAAGATTTTGGCGGCGAATGTCACAGGGATCATCCGCCATGGCTTCCTTCAGGTGCGAGCTAGCAACACGTCAAGGGTTTTAAGCAGATCGATGTCTCTTTCTTTCTTTCTTTCCTCATGAAGTTGTTTAGCATTACCCTTTGGGGAGGTCCATCAACAGACATGTCTTGCAGCAAGTTTTTCATTGTACGTTATTTCTCACTCTCGACAATGTCTTGAAGGCTGCATTCGTAATCTCAAATCTATCTTCCCATTTCATTGAGAAAACATTCTTGAGCAGAAATCCTTTTGGTTTCGTCTCATTCATTTCTCTTAGGTCATCCACACATTTTCAATACAATTTTTCCACTCCCCGAAGCTCATACATAGTGAAATCCACATGCATTCTTCCTGAGTCATTCCTCCCGACCTTTTTCAGGTCCTGCCAATTCCGCATGCGTATCATCCTCTGCCTTTTCTTGCCCTTTACTTAATTGACTCTTCATGTGCAATGCTTGGTTCACCCCTTAGCCACGTCTTATCTTTTCGAGCTTATACGAGCCAATTACACATCCGACTCTCAGTCTGCTAGTTCCTTTCTTAGGTCTACGCAGAATCAATTACACCAGCCTTTCCCTTCCTGGCTGTCTTGCCAAGCCATTTTTCTCGAGTTCATACCATGTCACTTGCTCCAGTCCCTTTTGTCCCGGCCTCTTGTCAGGCCCCCCCTTTTCTCAGGCCCATGCAAACTAATTACAAGTCTTTTTTCTTTTCTGGCCGTCTTGCCAGGCCCCTTTTCTCAGGCCCATGCAAAACCAATTACAGGTCTTTTTCCATGCGTATTTATTGGTAGATGGCGCACCTTCCCCCCACTCAAAACGCGGTGTCGACATCGCGCGACTGGTTCTCACTCGGAGGTACGCAGACCTTTGGCCCGCCAACCGCAAGTCAAGGACACAAGCCCGTCCGCTTCACAAAAGGAAGAGTGATCAGTTCTTCCCCAGCGAACGACGCCTCATCCTTCTACCCGGTCCGACCTTTGTTCTCTTACGTGGCGAGCACCGATACCAAGGTTCCTCCTCACGTCTGTCAGGTAGGTCCAATCCAAGCCTGCCAGGGCCCCGTCTAGCCATAAGAGCGTTCCTCGGGAATCGTTCCTCCCGAGTGGTGATTTTTTGGATTCCGGCCTCTTCCTTTCAAGAGAGTTGGGACTCTCAATCAGTCCGCGAGTGAAGTTACGAAGACCTCGCAATTAGTTTTGTGTCAATGCCCCGTGGTGGCCGCGGACTCCACCCGGTACTCCCCCAAGCCCCTCCCCTTGGACAGTGCCGCCCAACTTAGTGCGGGCAGCCGAGGTCCGACCCAAACGGCCATGGCACCCCTCTATGACATGGCGTGTGGTTGGAGAGGACAAAATAGTCTAGATGAGAATGGCTTCCTTGCCCATTTGGCTCTCTCGCCCTTTGACGTTTAGGCATTCAACAGGAGGCGCAATTTGAACTCCTCGACTAAAGCTCATTGTCAGGGTCAGTTCCGGACGTCCCTCACCGATTCAAGTGGAAGGTGCCTTAGTCCTTTAACCCTCATCCTCTTAAAGGAGGAGCAGGTCGCGCTGAGACTTTTTCCCTCAAAGGGATAGAGGTCTGGGGGTCGCGGTGCGTGCACCGGTATCCCCCTCTCGCTGAGGCCAAGGACTAGAAGAAAAGAGAAATCCATTTCAATGCCATTTCCAAATCCATTTCAAGTTGCCTAGGGTCCCCTGTTTATGCAATGCAATTTCCAATACTCAATCCAATTCCAATGCTCAGTCTCGTTCCCATGCTCAATCTCAGTCTTGTGCTCAATGCAATATCTCTTCCAGGGCTGAGTCCAATATCTTTTCCAAGGCTGAGTCCAATATCTTTTCCAAGCTCAACGTTTCCAATGTCTTTTTCCAAGGCTCAGCTCTTCCAATATCTTTTCCAAAGCTCAGCTCTTTCAATATCATGCATCTCAAGCAGCCATGCAAGGGGACCCCAGTGCCAATTCCAAAGAATGACCCTTGTCAGGGGCCATTAGCCTCGTTAGGACCATTCTTCACCATTGCAATCAGCCAACCTGGTTAGGACCATCTTCATCCATTTCAATTGGGCAGCCTGATTAGGGCCATCCTTGTCCATTTCAATTGAACAGCCTGGTTAGGGTCATCCTTGTCCATTGCAATGTTAGCGCCCGAGGGGGTGGGCCTCGAGGACACAGATCCTATTTCGTCTCGGGGGTTAGAGGGCGGCCATCGTCTTGGGTTTTTACGCATGCTTCTTCCTTTTTCTCATGTCTTTTGTCATTCTTACATCCATCCATACATCCGACTTAGCGTCTAGTACTAAAGTTGAGGCTCGGGGCCCCACGCAGCACTAGCCCGCTCGGCCGTTCAACCATTGCAAGGGGTGTTGCATCATTTCAATGTTTCCCTGCCACTTTTTTGACTTCTCATATGCTTCTCAATGCTCTGGGATTGCCTGGGGTAGGTTGGATTAGGCTCCTAGGGTAGAGGGTGCCTCTCTACCCATAGGTCCCCTAACCTCTCACAAGGACTCGTGGAGCGACTCGTTCAATGATGGATCCATAACTCAAAGGAAAGACTTTCGTCATGAATGTCTCTTCCAACGTTCAAGAGTTCACATGTCGCTGCCCATAAAGTCAACTAACCCCCCAATCCCTTTCTTACTACCCAAAAAGCTCATATTTCCCAAACGGAGCGAGTACTTATACAAAGTAACCGTGATCACCCACCTTCTACTAGCTCCCTCAATCCAAACAGTAGTTTCATTGCAGTCCTTACAAGGAAAAATAAGGAGACAAAGTTCGAATGCAAAAACAACATTACAGACTCGTCTTCGTCTAGATCCCCACTGTTTCCCCTTTTTCTTTCCCTTAATCTACCCAGCCATCCAGAATTCCATTCTAAGTGCAAAACCCTCATGCCTTTCCCTGAAGAAGCAACCATTCGTATGAAGTAGCGCTGACTACCCAGTCCTTGGTCACTTCGAGCTATGAAAATGCATTCACAAAAGAATTCAAATGCGAAGTCCAAAATGGCAGCTCTGACTACCCAGGGACCAAACCCTCCCAACTCGTAGCTATTCCTCATTACGCCTGCTGTGCCTCTATCGTCCAGGTGGCCTGCGTTGAGCCTCGCTCCTTGCGCGATCCTCCATTTCTTGCTCCATTTGCCTCTTTATTCCTTGGAACTGGAGGAGTGTCCGTTCTGTGAAGAAGGTTGTTGGGGATAGATCCTCTCCCCTGCCCAGCTTTTCCCTTGCGTTCATAATCCATTGATATCGCAAGATAGTGCCCCATTGATCAAACCAACCGTTGAACTCAGGTCCGAACTCTTCTATCCATTTGTCCTTTTTCTCACCCGGCTGCTCCCCTCTTTCCTGTTCTTCCCTTGTGGGCGTTGTTACCTCATCTTCCTCCTCGTCGCTGGTGAGGTCAATGAACTCAACGGGCTCATTCTCTCCCGGCCGTTGTCCTTCCTCTGGGTTCCCCTCCTCCATCCTTCGCCTTTTTTTCGGGTTCCCTTCTTCCTTACTACTAGGATCACTGTCTGAAGGCAGCTCTATTGGCTCCCCTTCCTTCAGTGGTGGCGGTCCTCTGGTTCCATGCTTTCTGCCCCCCCTGTTCACAACTAGGTTGTGGTCGAACCCCACATACAACTTCCTTTTTCTGGAGCTCGACTCTCCAGCTTGCCTTGACGACTGTCCCTCTTCCGGCCTGTTAATTGCATTGCTGTCATTTGAATTCCCAAACTCCATTTTTTTGTTTTCTTGTTGTCCTTCTTCTTCTTGCCTGGCCCTGTTTTCACATAACAGTCACGGTACCCCTCATACACGCATTCCCTTCCACTCCCATTTGCAGCTTTGGAGGCTTCCCTAGAACTCTTGCTTGCCCCCATATAGTTGGCAGTCCCATTATCTCTTAGAACCCTCGACATATTGTCCCAACACGTAGGTGCCCCATGTAGGCATTCCACAGCATCACCCCACAAAAACTATGGTACATTGTCCCAGCACATAAATACCTCGTGTAGACAGTCCCCAGCGTTACCCCACAAAAACTATAATACACTGTGTCGTGCTCCCAAGCCCAGTTACAGTCAGCCCAGGCAGTCTTCCCACGTTCCACAAAAAGCAAGACACACAAAAGAACAATCCCTGTGGTCATGATCACTTCCACAGGGAGGCGATCCAGAACTTATAGCCAGCTGCCTGCCTTTCAGGCTGTCAATTCCCCAGTTTCTCTGTCTGGGGCTTCTTGTAACCATTGTTCCACCGGATCCCTGCTCGAAAACCTGGCCAGTCTCTGTCCCGGAAATGGTCCTCTTATGCTAGTACCATCAAGATCCTCAAGTTCAAACGTATTTAGTCCCACCCGCTTAGCGATCCTGTAAGGCCCTTTGAATCTCTTTCCCAGTTGCCCAGACCATGTGCTTTCAAGAGTCGAGATTCTAACTAACACTTTCTCCCCCACCTGGAGTGGCTCTTTCCGAATGTTCTTGACCTGATCCCACCTTGCTTTGTCCTTCATTCGGCTATCTGTTACACGGTTAACTACTTCCTCCAATGCCTCCTCATTCCTGGCGACCTGCTGGCAACGTGCGGTGATTAACTCCTCCGTGGTGAAGTGCGGATTATCGTCTAACATGTTCCAAGTAGGGACGAGGGCCTCCACTGGGAAGTCAATCTCCCTTCCATACCATAGCTCCGCTGGAATGCATCCCGTCGTTCTCTTTGGTGTCATGTTCTCAGAGAAGACTGCCAACTTAAGGTACCGTGGCCAGTTCCTCAAGTTGTCTGCTGCAAGCTTAGCGATTGTGTTTTTCAAGGTCCGGTGCCCCCTTTCTACTGGTGCATTTGCCTCCGGGTGGTAGGGTTCAGTGATCTTGATTGGTACACACAGTGTCTTAAGCCTGTTCAATACCTCCTGGTTAACGAATTCTGTCCCATTGTCTGCTATAAACCTGGGCACGAAGGGGTGTCTTAGGTAAAAATCTTCCACCCAATCGGCCACTGATTTCCCCGTCTTCTTTTTGAGGGCTACGGCTTCTACATAGCCACTGAGATTATCCCTGGCATCCAAGATGTATCTAAACCCATCCGTCGATACGGGCATAACCGCAAGATCGAGGTGAACAAGGTGTTCGGGTCCCAGTACCCGAGTGGGTCTAATGGGCTCGTAAACCCGTACGGAGCTCCTCTCTTGATATATCAAACACGTCTAACAGTATGTTGCGACCATGCCTGCCATTGCCGGCCAGAAATACAGGGGCACAATCTTTGCAAGTGTCCCCTTTGACGACCGGTGACCCCCAGCTAGCAAATCATGCATTGTTTGAATTACGTCCAACTGCCTAGACCTCCCACAAACGACGCGTGTACGCATCATCCCTTCCTCTCTCTTGAACAGGTGGCCATTTCTTAGGACATACTTTTCTACTTCCTCCCTTGCCTTGGGACTGACTTCCGTAGGTTGTTTGATCCCTACAAGCAACAGGCCGATTTCTTTGAAGACGCCCTCGTACATCTGTATGAGGAAGAATTCCTGTTCGTTCTGATCCGTACCCCGCTCCTCCCGAGTGAGATTGACTAGGTACTGACACTCCTTCTGTGCCCAGGTTTCGGCCAATGTCATCACGGCGTCCCGTCCCCCTTCCACGGCCATCGCCATCAGCTCTTCTCTGGCCCCTACTTCTGCTCCCCACGAGTCCTTCTCCTCTTTACGCCTGACTGTGGTGGCCGGTCCTTCCCTGAGTTCTACAACTACTGGAGGCGCGCCTTTTTCCAAGGTCTGAATCAGCAACTGACCCGTTGTAATTGCTGGGTCTGCCATCTCATTATCCACCACAAGGGTCCCTCCTTCATACTCCAGGAAGGCGTCAATTGGTTCCGCGTCCTCTACTCCTTCTGGTGTGATACATACCCTGTTCAGCCCATCTGCCCTGTTTCGAAGCCCCGCAATCCGCTCGAACTTATAGTCGAATTGCCATATGAAGCCTATCCATCTGCCAACGGTCGGGTCTATAGGCTTGTAGTTCTTTAGGGTCCCGACGACGTTGGTAGGATCGACTCCTTAGGATAAATCACCTTCCGAACAGATATGCCTAGAAGGTCTTAAGACAATGCAGAATCGCTAAGACCTCCTTCTTGAACTGTGAGTACCGCCGTTCTGCCGAATTCAGGGTCCTACTTTCAAATCTGATTGGCCTTTCCTTACCCTCCTCGCTTCTCTGTATCAATACTCCTCCAACTGCCTGCGGTCCCCCATCTATTTCTAAGATGAAGGGTCGTCCTACCTCGTCATTAAAACAGGGTGCTGCTAGAGTAACCTGATCGGATGACAGGATGTCTTTGAGGGTCTGGGCTGCCTCTTCCCTATCCTCGGTCCAATCCATAGTGCCACCTTCCCTAATCATCGCGCGGATAGGTTCTGCTATCTTTGCGAAACCTTTGATGAAGATCCTCCAGAATCCAACCACCCCTAGGAAGGCTCGTACTTCCGTCGTGGTACGTAGGGGTGTCGGCCACTGAGAGATCTTATCTGTCTTTGCTGGGTCGGGTCTCCTCCCATAGGCCCCACAGCGAAATCCCAGTATAGTTACCTTCGAAACAGCCAAGATACTCTTGGGTCCGCTTGCAGTAATATTGTAGACTAGGAATCGCTGGAGCAGATCCTTAATATCCTGCAAGTGATCCCAAACAAACTTCCGTACGCCCGGTTGGACCTCCGCCTCGTCCTTGTATCTTGCACCTTTTACAGGATTGTCATCTATACAAGGTTCACACTTTTTCGGAAACATATCTCCTGCAACGACGATCATCCTCTGCGCCTCTGCTACTGCATTTGTGAAGCCCATAGGGGTCACTTGCATCTGCAAGTGTCCTACGGGGGTGTGCATTGCGGTGTACGGTCTATCCCTCGCATCGAGCGGCAACTGATCATATCCTGAGTACAAGTCTAACAGGGAGTAAATGCTCCGCCCCAACAAGTCGACCTGTGGGAGCGAGCCTGCGTCCCTAATTGTTACCGCATTGAGCTTTTGCAGGTCCTTGATCCACCTGAGCGTCTTATTGGGCTTCCTGAACACGAACCACTTGTTCGCGTAGGGGGATGCGGTGGGTTCAGCCACGAGAGAATCTATCTTGGCTCTAAGCAGGTCGGTGACCTCCGCTGCTATCCCAAACTCATAGGCGGGCCCTTTATCATTCCAACACTCGTGATGTACGGTGTGGATCCTCACAGGAGGAACTAGCTTTGCGTCCAATCGCCCTTTCTGATGATCGTTGAAAGCGAAAGCTAAATGAAACTCCTGACATGCCTTTCTTATCAACTGAGTTTCTTCCCCTGTTAGAAACCCTTCCACTCCTATTTTCATGGTGTTTGCTACCTCATCTGGTATGCGATGCCCTTCCGTAGCTCGCCTCTCCCTTATTACCCGCAAAATTTCCTCCTCTTTTTCCATGGCCTCTTCCTTTGACGTTTCAACTAGGATCGAGACCGGCTTGGCCTTCTTGCCTACGGGTTTATACTTTTGCACACTACCTTCGGGGATCGTTCTCCTAAAAAATGAACAGTCGGGATCGGCCTTGCTACCTCCAAGACGTGGGGCTGGATGCTGACTAGCTTCCCATTCAGACAGTAGCCCTTTCGAACCCCATCCTCAAATCTAGCAAGCGCTGCGGGGTCCACCCCCACTTTGTGATACCTGATGGCCTTAACGAGTTCTCGGATTTCAAGCACCACCTTTGACGTTTTGTTCCGGCCTTCCTTTGGTTTGGGGAGGCTGGCTCCAAGTTCGACTTCCGACTCTTTTTCTGCCACCGTAACTTCCAGGGCCTCATCCTCTTGCCTCCTTTTCTTTAGGGGTAGACCCATCTTGATCCACTCCTTCTTGCTAAAGACTTTCTCAATCATGATTTCTACTCTCTCTCTCATACCTTCCATGCGTGCGATTGCGCCTTTCCGTGCACTTTCTTCAAACGTCGGCGACCAGGTTGCCAGTTTACCCTTGGGAGAGTACCCTCCAGTTCCGAGGAGTCGGAGGAGTTCTTCGGGACCTGTCACCGGATCCTCTATGTCTACCATGTACGTGCTGTCATGCAAGTGCATGCCAATCATTTCTACATTGGCGCACCAAGGTCTCCCAAGGATTATGTCATGGTCCATTTCTTCCATTAGGGTCATCCGTTGGAAAGACCAGATGGATTCCCGAATTCCTGCCCTGACCGCGCGTTTGGTGACATACCCGGTGAAGGGAATTTCTCCGCCTGCTCCCCTGATACTCCCTGCTACTTGTTTACTGTGCACCTCGTGATCGTTGTGAAATCCCATCGTACGAGGGTAATTTTTGCGCCGCCATCCACTAATGCATCGGTGTGGTGGGTTCCGACCTGGACTTCGGTCCGGCAAACTCAGACGAATATCGGCAAAGGCTTTTTCCAAGTCTTCCAAGCCCCCTGGAATGCTTTGGAGGTTGGAGACTCCTTGTGGCGCCTCCTTGTTCCTGTCGTTCCGGAGCGTCCTCTACTTCTACACGTCTACGCGTCAATAGCTGCCTGAGGCCCTTGAGCAGTCTCGGGCTTGCCTGCAGCATGGTCTGGAAGGATACTGACACCATGGTGCCCAAGAGTTTGCTCAGTGTGTCATCTAATTCGGGCAGCGTCTGAATCGAAATCTGGTATCTGAACTTCTTTTTTGCCGTTGTAGCCTTGTCTACCAGTTCGTCCTCCCTTGGCTTCCCATAGACCTTCTCTTGTTCCCCGGCTTTGGTCTCTTGCTGGCCCGTGCTAATCCCTGCGAGTTCTTCCATTACTGTATCTTGAATAAGCTTCTTTTCTGCGCCGGCCCGGCGAGTGGTGATATTTGCCCTATCCTGGCCATTGCCTTCTAGGATAAAATTGGCTTGTGGTCCCCGTCCCCTAGGCTGGTCCCAGACAATCTCGGCTATCGGCTCTGCTTCATCGGCTATTTCTAAGTTATTCAGGAGGATGACGGCTCGCCACATCCCTCCTGGCGAGTTCCAATTGACACGCTCCCCCCGGGGTCCGAGGATCTCGCCTTTGAGGGACCTACTGCACCTCTGCCGTTTGTAATCGTGATTGAGTCTCGGACAGGCCCGTACGAAATGCCCGATCATGGTGCAATACTTGCATTGTTCGTTGGTCGGGTCCCTCCTGCCAAATCCCCGGTTTGCTACGGCTGCCGGAACCACGGCCTCTTGGGGCGGGAGGGCGGGTCTGGACGCTTGCGCCTGCATTACTAACATCGCATTTTCCATTATTTCCATCTTGCTGTCTACCCCATGCACTCGCTCGTGCAGGCTTTCTATCCCTTTCTTAACCTTATCTCCTGTTTTCCCGGTCAGATCTATGACCTCCCCTTCCTTAAGCAGGGCTAGTGTCTCGGTGACCACTGTTTTCCGCAAGGTCTGTTATGGTGCTGAAGTCCACATCTCTCGTGTACTCGAACTTACTGGTCTGCTGGTATGCTGACAAAATCTTATCCTTATCAAACTCGGAGAACTGTCTGAGGAAGTATTTACTCATTATGCGGTCCGTTACCCCGGGAATTCGCAGCGCCACTAACGTAAATGCCCTTAGGAAATCGTTGTAAGTCGCATAGTTTTCCTCTGGACTGCGGTTAATTCGGCCTCTGTTGCCATTTTCTCTGCCTTCAGGTATTTCCTCATCATCTCATTCCTGGTTTCTTTCCAGGATCCACTGGAGGCGACGATGGCCATAGTGTCCCTTCCGAAGCTTAGCGACACGTGCTGCCCTAGGTGCTCCATCTTTTCCTCTTCCGTCCATTTCAGTAAGGCTGCTAGGTTCTCATAATCTATTAGAAACTCCGTAATGTTGGCCTCATCGAACGTGAGTTTCTTCTTTGCAACTGCAAGATACCCCTGGTTCTTGTTTAGTGTCTTGGTGAGGGTGGCGACTACCCTCTTGAAACCATCTTCGGAGCCACCAGCTTCTCCGGCTGCACTTGTCCCTTCCCCTTCCTTGCTTTCCCTTTGCTTCTCCTTGGTTTTCGACATTCCTTCTGGGTCGAACCATCCTAGCACTCTTTCCCTATGGCTCCAAAGTCAGTCACACGCCCTTGTTACTTTCGGCGTGGCGGACAGTCTGCTAGTGCCGTTGTCGATGGCGGGTGGGGTCATAGCGTTTTTCGTTCCTTCCGTCGGGGGGTCGTTCTTCTCCTTCCCCTTCTTGCTAGGCGTTCCTGTGTGGCTATTATCCTTCCCCTCATACCTGGCCTCGTCCTGACCGGTCCTGCGGCCCTCACGTGACCTTGCACCCTGGTGGTCCTCCTCATCCCCGACCATCATCTGCTCGATAAGCCTTGCCCTAAATTCTGCAGTCCGCTTTTCTATCTCTGCCAGTTTACGACTGACATCCGAGACTTTCGTTTTTTTAGGGGTGGCTCCTGCTGAGTTCCGAGGGCTTGTTCTCACATCATTTCCCCCTTCCCTGTTTTCCTGAGGTCCCCTTTTGCTACCCCCAGCTTTCCCCGAGCTTTCTCTAGTTGAGGCGTCCTTTCCGTCTTCTCGGGTTCCTTGTAGTTTGCCTGACTCTCGATCCCTGGCTGATCCTTCGTTTCGTTCCCCATCCCCATTCGTGCCCTGATTCCCTTTGCTCTGCTGATCCTCGATTTCTTCCTCCATCGCTATTCCTTTACCAAACCTGCACATGGAAAATTGTTTCTTGCGAACATGGCCGGTTGTTCATAACTGCCCTAGTCCCGGCCCTAAAGTACGCCTATTCCCATATTTTTGCGTCTTACATTAATCAGTACGACTCTTCTCACCTTTTTCTCCCAGAGCGTCCTTCAGGTTTTTTTCTACCGGGGCCTTGCCACCGCCGCTTGGCGTTTCATTACGGCCGCGCTTTGATTCTTAGGGCGGTGCCTGAGCCCAGTGGCTTCCCTATCGGGGATGGCCCTTTCGGCTTATTGGCATCCAGGTGCCCCATAATTTTTGGAGCGGGTGGTCTTCCTAGTTCCGCCCTGCCGCATCATTGGGTCGCCCGGAACTCCAACCACTGTCCCTCTTTTGCTGATGGCTGCCTACTTATCTTAGTACCCATCCTTTATTTCCCTACCCCTCCTTGATGCGTTTTCTCATGCTGGTCCCTCAGGCCTGCCCTGCTCATCCGGTTCCTCGAACAGGTCAACCAGCCTAGCAAGGTAATTTTCCCCCCATCTCTATTTCCCTGATAATTATTGGCTGATATTCTTCAAACAACAGGTGGGGCAATCCGAATATCAAGATCTCGAGTAATTCGAGTAGTTCCCAGGCCTGATTCCCCCAAAACGGCCCATGTGTGACTGACACATCGCAAAACATGCTCGTTGTTTGTGGCCGGAAGAGGTGGATCCTGGCCAGGGTCGAATCCACCAGGTCCCTAGCTCTCTTGAGGCTACCGAATACCAAGTCCACCATGAAACGAGGTACTCGACACCTCAACCCGGTCATTGGGGCCTTAAACTCTCACCAGCCTTCAACCTCCACCCGAGTTCTTAATCCCACGTTTCTTCTCCCCCGCACTTCCTTGCCCACCCTGTTCAACATCCTAGTAGCCCTCTGGAAGATTGGTAGCAACCCGTGACCTAGTGCCAATTCCGTTCCTAGCATGTACCATCCGAGTTCCGGCAGGTATATGGTCCCTATTACCCTAAGATCGGTATACAGATCGTCTCGCGGCCCCCTTTTAATTCTCATACCATCCCGCAAACATTCCACCATCATGAACGCCTAACCTCTTCCCAGGGTCACGGCCCTCCATCCGACTTCCAATCCTTGGATCATGTAGCTTGGTGGGAGCGATACCTCCCATCTGCCTTCACTTTCCGTGGGTGGCCGCGGGTGTGTGGACCGTCGCAACATCTGAGCGCTTCTCATCGCCATTTTTGACTTAGTAGTCCCCTTCACAGTTTAAACAGCAAGCGGGTTTACTTATTTCATTTAATCTTCAGCTCCCGCCCGAACACTCCCCGGTTTCTAGCTTGAACCTTCCTTTTCTTTCCTTGACCTCTTTTATTGATCCGTCCCTACGTCCATCGGCTCATACAATCGGTACAGATCATCCATGTACACCATCCCTTGACTTATTTCCCGTCGGATGACACCCCACAGGACCTCATCTCCCACGACCGGAGCCCTCGGCCTGGTGCTAAACACAGCACGCAGGATGCGCAGCACCTCATACTTCTGCTCTCCACTGAACGGGCCCATTTCTAGGAAGGCCCGATAGTATTCTCGATGTACCATCGCATCTTTACATGTCAGGCTTGCGAGGTCGGCTACTGCTCGTCTAACAAGTCCCAGACCGCCCAGCTTTTCCAGCAGGAAGGGCAGCAGCCTCATTCGTATATTTTCACTAGGCAATTCGAAACTCCCGACCATGGCTACCCTAAGGTCCTCTGGTACATCGTCAACCCCCGGATCTGCGAATTCAAATCCCGCTCGCCATACTAACTGCCATGCTCCTTCAAACATGCTCAATGGGTCTTCTCCTGATGCCAGTCGGACTCCGAACTCCCTCCACCCATCCTCTGACACATACAACCGTCCTTCTGCACGCACATGCCTCGGTGGGTCCAGGTTCCATTCCTTATTCTCATCCGCACGCCATTCAACTTTCGTCACCAAGTAAACCATATTTTCCGCAAGCTCGACCCCGACCCAATCTGCCACCTGGTGCCAGCCTTCACTTGCCGCCGGCAAGCTAACCTCTACTCCACCCGGTACTTCCCTAGGTGGTTCAATGCCCAAGGGGCGTGCCTCAAGGAACGTCCTTCTTCGCGCCATCGCACACTCGCCTTCGATCTTCTGGCTCACGATCCGCACTGAACCCTACAATGGCTAGACATCCCATTCCCTTGTCTTAGCAAATTTTCCCATATTTGCCTGGCCCCACGTCTTTCCTGCGCTTAGTCGAATCACAACACTTCAAACAGTTTGAACACATCATCCACATAGCAAGGTGTTGCTGCTACCTCACGGCGGATTATGGCCTCCCTAGTTTCCGGGGCCACCTCTTGCCGGTCATTCCTTTCGATATCCAAAATGATCAGACCTCCTGGGCTCTATCGCCATGGAAGGGCCCGTATTTCAAGGACGTCGTATAGAATTCCCCCGCCAGCCATGCGCAGTTTACGTGTATTCGCTCCATTGCGTCGGCTACCTTTGTTACGTGATCAAACCCCCCAAACCAGTCCGCCACGAATTAAATTCTTTCCATCCTCCCATTAGGACTGTACTACCGACCGTATCCCAACCTTTGTTAGCAAACCTTTCCCCCGCCTGCCGAGCCCTTGCCTAAGTGTCCCCTAAAAGCCATATCGGGTCCTGTCCTGCCGCGAGCGTTATGCAGAACAGGTGCCAACCTTGTTCAGAGAGGACGATCGTCCCGATTGATTCCATCCTTCCTTCCGCAATCTCTTCCCATCCTTCCTCTTCCCTCAACGGGTTCCAGACGTGCTCTTTCCATAGGTACGATAGCTCCGGCACGATCTCATACCCCTGCCAATCACATGTGGTGTCCTTCCATTCATAGCTCTGCGGTATTGACATCTCTACTCCCCTTCCGGTTCGTCTTGGTTCCTATGTGCAATCCCATGGCTCGAATTTCCGGGCCATCGCTCCCTACTTGCACATAGTTGACAACCCGTTTTCCTCGGGTAAGTCCCCCCCCTCAGAAGTCCCAGTCCTCTAGCTCGTCCCCGTCCTCCTCATCACTGGAATCCCCCTCCTCGTCCAAGAACAACTCTTTCACTCCCTCCAGGAAAGTTTCACCCGCCGCCACATTCCGGTAAACTATCTGCCAATGCACCGAGCTGGGAACAAAGATTTTGTCCGCGCTGCGGAGGTTTAACACCTCAGCTAATTCTTCCCCCCAGTTTCCTTCAAACGGCCCTGCTTCCACCGACAGCCTAAAGAAGTCCTGTCTAGCACATTGATACAGCCTCAGGCACGTCATCGACCGACATATCCGCTCCAATCTATCCCTGGTTCCGAAGACATCATTTACCAGAAACGGGGGTAACACACACCTCATTGTCCTAAGTTCCACTCGCACCTCCATCCTTTCCATCTCCATTTCCGCCCGTTGACATGCTGCCCATATCACCTCCCGTTCCGCTTGCTTAAACAACTGTTCTGGTGCYGTGCCCAATACTAGTCCCACTACCATTGCATTTTCCATTTCCTGAGATACGTAGACCCATCCTCGAGCTTCCACTGTTCCCCGGAACTCTAGGTCCATCAGGCTGGATGAAAGTCTTGTCACGCTGACCTCAGTCCAGGTTGTCTCTATCCAGAGGAACGCGTCCTTCTCGTCCAGCATCACAGTTTCATAAGTTGGCTCCAGGTCGATCCACGTCCCTTCTTCCGGGAGAACAACAGACACCCCATCCCTTACGTCTATAGGCATTTCCGGGCCACTGGAGTAGAAAGGAGGTGACAACCATCGCGCCATCCCGTTTTTCCGGTGCCAGTCCTATTCCCACATGAGAGCACCACACGGCCTCTCATGGTCAAATGGTTTTCTTTCCCTTTCTAGATGAGAGTTGTTTTCCAGGCCCCTCATCCGGGCCTCCCTAACCTTTCCTATCCATTTCCCAGGCGCCATTGCCGTACCATACCCCCAATCGATCACCAGCCACGCGCATTCCTCTTTTCTTGGTTCCACTTTCTTCCGACTCCTAACCAGCCTCTTCCTCATGTTCTCTCACTCGTGCATACTTAGGCAGGGGTTGAGAATAGACTAGAAACTCGGTCCCCGTCCAACATTCGTCAGGCAACTTTACATAGGGAGGCACAAAAAGCAAAACTCGGGCAAACGTCGCACACAGGTCGGTCATCTCCTCACCGACCTTTTCCCCCGAAAATGGTCATCTCCTCAATCGTCGCGAGGGTGGTACCCAGACTCCAGTGGGGGGTCGCCCTCACCTTCTTGCCCAGAATCCCCATCCCGACTTGCCGCTCGCGTACCCACCGTTAATCTCAGGAATCACCCCGCACATCTCGGTAGGGCCATTGGAGCCAGCCGTCCAGGCACTCACTTCCATTGGTCCGATAAGGAACAGCCTTTTTCCAAACCAGGCTATGAGAAGCTACTGATCGCCTCCCAGGCTCCGTCTTTGCCCCCATGCAGTGGTGCTCCCTCCGCCAGTCCACAGGCTAGGCCCCACCTGAGGAACGTTTCACACCCCGCTCGACAGATCAATCGAGCCGAAGCCTGTCACTGCACGGACGAGAATGCTAATAAGCACTCGACGTGACAAACTCCCGTTAGACAGCTCGGTGGTCTGACCCCCGCACACGAACAAACGACAGTCTACAAAGAGAACGATGTTTGGCAACCCGCAGTGGCCGGTGCAGACCCCCCCTTTCCTTCCAAATGGCAGGACGCTCGAAATCCCAATCATGCAATCACAAGTCCCAAGTGGGACACACATAACACAAGTGCCTTTCCCCTGGTGCACCCAACGCTTCCTACCCATAGCTCACAATTTTTCTCTCAGGACAGGGCGTGCCACTCACCCCTAACATCCATACACAGTGCCCGGTTCCTTCTCGTGAGCAATGAGCATCTTCAATGGTGAGCTAGTTTTCCTCGGAGTCTAGCAACTCCCTTCATTCGCTTATCTTTGCTTATGTGTCCGTTCATAGGGCAGGATTGTTCCTTCTCGATTACCCTTTGTGTTCATATGAGGTTCCTTCAAGCATTAAGTGTGGTGCGTGGAGCCCGCTGGGCTCCGGAGAAAAGGAAAGAGAGCACCCGTGTCGGTCGAATCACTCCGCCGCGGGATTTCCATCGGAACCCGGACTAGCCCGGAATCCCAATTGCCTGCCAGGTTACCGGAGCCCTTCTTTCACATGAAGAGGAAGGGTCGACCTGCGGCTTGCCCAAGGCTTCCCCGGTCTGACGAACATCAACCCGAGGGAAGGAGGACTAGAGTCACCTCCAAGGGAGATGGCTGATCAAATGTCCAACATGCATGTTCTTCCTCCAGGCCTGGCCTTGCCATGCGCCCAGCCACCCTCAAATCTGATTCACTCAAGGGATAGAGCATACACAAGTCCATATTCCTTGTCTTCAGGTTTATGTTCACGGTCATGCGTCGGGCGCCCCCCTCGAGACCGTATGGGTCAGTTTAACCCAATACCCGACACCTCGACCACTTTTGTAGGGGCCGTACCCTGAAGGACTTTCGAGCCTACGTTGACCCCGCTGCGGGTCCCGTTTGGCTCGACCCGCCCACGCTCACGCTCAGGGTGCGGGTCGTTCGTCCCAGGGGCATCCCCACCTAGTGCTTTGAGATGGATGGGGATGGGCCTTTTGTGAGAGGGCTTTACATTGGGGGATGTAGCTCCGCTCTCGATGGTAGCTCTTTAGGCACTCGTGACGTTTGCTTGATTCTCTTTTCATCTGACCAGGCAATTGCTCCTTCCAATACGCATGCAGTCCAGGGAGTTCATTGAGAGTTTATCTTCGTTTCATGTGTATGCCAAGCGTCATCCATTGGACCACACACTTCTTCACTAATCCTAGCGACTCAAGGCCGCCCCTACCCCTTCCTCGGGGTGGGGTGGTTTCACCCGGACGCCTAGCCGCTATATTTTTTTTGCTTGAGTCACTAGTGTTGCATTCACCTATCCAAGACCGCCCTCAGTCCTTCCGGGCGTACAATACATTTAAGAGAGCCATTGCATTCAATCACCATGCAAGCCGCATTCGACATCTACCATTCATCCAGGCATCCAACCGTCAAAACCCATCCTGCATTCATAGTTTATGCGAGGTCTACGTCCCTCCCTTACCCAGTTTTCTGGTGGATCCAGTCCCGCTCGACACCCATCCCGAGCTACTTACCTTCACAACACCACACAAAGCATGGACCAAATACAATCCCCATTGGGGTCAACGCACCGCCCTTTCCCGCAATCCTAAGCTTCCTTTGCCCTTCGACGATCTTTTGGTTGTTTTTCCCCTCTCTCAAGCAAGCCCTGCCTTTATCTTAGTCATGCAGTCGGGGAGGATGGTTGAGTCAAACTGACCTTGTTACAAAAATAGCACTCCTTTCCGCTTTCTCCAATGTCCACAACAGTTCGACACTTTTCCTTCTTGGTGGCACAAGGGACCGGCTGCCCTCCCCTTGCCCTCTCTTTCCACCAAGTGAGGATCAAGTTCATTACCGTTCGTCCCCTGACAATGTAACAGGTGAGGGTAGAGGTCAGTTACGTGCCATGGAAAGGAGGGAGCGAGGAAGAGGTAAGGGTTAAAGAGTTTGGAGGCATGGGGGAAGAGAGAGAGAGAGAGAGAGAGAGAGAGAGAGAGAGAGAGAGAGAGAGAGAGAGAGAGAGAGAGAGAGAGAGAGAGAGAGAGAGAGAGAAATCAAGAAGTTTTCACATCCTAATCAACCTCGCCCCCTCTTGACCTACCTCTACCCAAGATCCCATCTACCCCCCCCCCTCTTGCGATCCTCATGACTTTCGAGTGGGTGAAGGAGACGATAGAGAAGAAGGGTCGGGGTGGTTGGCTATGGTGGACGGGTGTAGGTGATGGAGGAAGAAGAGGGGTTGAGGCGGTCGGCTATGGTGGATGGGTGTAGGTGATGGAGGTGGATGAAGGGTTGGGAGTGGTTGGCTATGGTGGGTGGGTGTAGGTGACGGAGGTGGAAGAAGGGTTGGGAGTGGTCGGCTATGGTGGATGGGTGTAGGTGATGGAGGTGGAAGAAGCGTTGGGGGTGGTCGGCTATGGTGGGTGGGTGTAGGTGATGGAGGTGGAAGAAGGGTTGCGAGTGACCGGCTATGGTGGATGGGTGTAGGTGATGGAGGTGGAAGAAGGGTTGAGGGCGGTGGAGTCCTTCCCTCTAAGGCTGTGGAGTCCTTCCCTCTAGAAGGGCTAAGTGGACCCCTTTCAGCTCTCCTCCTACTTCACAGCTTGAGGGCTATGGCGGACCACTGGCCTCTCTTCCCGCTAGCCTCTAGGCCTTCTCCCTCAACTCTATTACCATAGCCAGGCTCCAGGCCAGCTCCGGCTCTTCCTTCCTTGCTCTAGCTCACTAGGATGCTCTCACGGACTCATTTTGGCAGCATGGGCTCCTCTCATGCTCAAATGAGAGTGGCGGCCTGCATCCTCAGCTTATATAGGTTGAAGCTGGTGCACCGCCCAACCCCTAGGCCTCCCCAAGTGCCTCTAGGTGGAGCGAGGTACCCCCTAGCCCAAATTTTCTGTTTTGGCCTATCTAGAGGTACTCGGGACTCATTTCGGCGAGGTACATGCAGTCAGGATGGCTGGTACCTCCTCGGACTACCCCTTGGCCTACCCCGGCCTCTTTTTCTTTCAAAAGTGCTGTCTTTTGGGTACCACTACCCCAAAATGCAGGCTTTACCGAAATTTGAGGGCCTAGAGACCCATATGGTCTTTTCCTAATCTAGGCCTCTTGTGAGTAGGCTGTTACATTTTCCCAAGTGGCGGCACAAATCTCAGCCTTGGATTTGGCTGAGATCCACGGTCCTCATCATTCCGAGCTACCCCCAAGTTCCCCTTGGCCCAAATTTGAGCCTTTTACTTCAATTTTTAATTTTTTTGGTGTATCTGGCCCAATCTTTGGGCCAAATACGCAGTTTTGTTTTGTTCCTCTCTTTGTTTTCCCTCCATTTTGCTGCCAACTCATTCCGGAGCTAGCCGTTTTGTGTCAGCCCACAAAAAACGGCTAGATCTCCTCCTCCGCAAGATCGGATCTCAGATCTAAGGCCCAAGAATGAGCCGACCAACTCACATCAACATTTTTCCTTAGTTTTGCTGCTTGAAATTCAGATATTGCAGAGATAATGCCCCAAGGACCTTATCTCTGCAATCCGGGCTGCCCTCCTAGGATCTAGGAGGGATGAGGTCATCATTGAGACCTGCCAGTCTCTATTGCTGCAATCCCAACCTGGCGGCACCTTTTCCTCCACTCATTCCTCCTCCTTTGTCTCATTCTCCCCCCCTTTTCTCCCCCTTTTTCCTCCTTTCTCTTTTATTTACTATTGGGACAAGTGTCCAACAACTATTTCTCCTCTTTCTAGCTGTTGGACCTTTCCCAAGACCTGATTTTGCAACCGGCATATGGCCGTTACACCTCGGATTGCAGTAGTGGCAGCCCCAAGGCCAAAGGGGGCTCCTTTTTGCTACCGCCGCTTCCAGTTTTTAGACCCCCTTGCTTCGATTTTCTCCGACCAGCCCTTTTTCCACGTGGAGCCCTTGGAACTTCGTTTTTCTTGGCCTGGCTGATCCGGGATACTCGGACTGCTGGCCGCCCCCCCCCTTCCTGCCGCTACTCCCTCTCCTCTTTCCCTTCGGCACCTCCCGCCGCCGCTTGCCGTGGCGGTGCTTAGCATTTTCATCCGAACCCCCCTGGCCCGGAAGGTCCCGTCCACCTGATGTTATGTTATTTTATTTTTGTTGTTGTTGCATTTGATCCCGGGTCCCCTCGGGTCGCCCCAGGTGCCTTCTGTCTTTCTCGCCTCGTGCCCGTCTTCTCCGTTCTGTCGACAATTCCTGTCAGCGCTCGACTTCTCCTCCTTTTCTTATTTCTCCTAGCCCCTCCTCTTCGTCCGACGTCATCCTGGGTGACAACCCGTTCTCGCGCGTCCCCCCTCTTGGGTTGGTCGTTAACTACCCTACCGACGGCATCCGACCTTCGGCCCCTGTTCGTGGCTCCTGACTCTTTTTTATTCCGTCGATACCCAATCTGCTAGTGGTTTCGTTGGTGCCGCCATTTTATCTAGGCCCACACGGTCCCTGGCACTTCGGCCCGCCTGCATTACGTCTTTCCCTTGGTCTCACGCGGTTCGCGGTACTTCACCCTGCCGGCACCACGCCGTCCCCTGGTCCCGCGTGGTCCCCGACACTTTGTTCTGCTGGTACCGTCCCGTCCTTCGATCCCATGTGGTCCCCGACACTCCTGCCCCTCCTGTACCATGTCTTTCCTTGGTGCTCCTGACGTCCTTTCGCCTTACAGCGATCTCTGCTCCCTGCTCCTATTGCGTCCCGCATGCTATTTCGTTCCGGTGTCGGATCCCACCTACCCTGCGGTCTCCTTGGCCCTCTTGCCGCCGCGTCGCGTCAGCGCCTTGCGCCCTGTCCCTTCCCACTTCCTTCCTACGCACCTCCTATGCTACTACCGACTTCCCGACGGCCCTTCTCCGTCCTTGGGGAAAGAGTCGCCCCTGCTATTCTCTCACAGTCCTTTGCCGCTTCCTGCTTAGACAACCCCTTTCTAGTTTGGAGGCCCCGACGACTTTGGACAGCCTCTGGCTTCCTACTGTCCATGCCCATGCTTTCGCTCTTTCCAGCATTCCCGCCTCCGGTTTTCTCTGTCGTGCACAAATTGGTCATATACAGTCTCTCGAGTGACGGGAAACCATTCGGGACTCACAAGTCCCGACAACGTTGATCTTGAAGTTGCCCTCTCTCAGCTTCTCCAAGACCTGCCTCAAATGACCCGGGTGCTCTTGGAGGGTCCTACTGAACACTAAAATGTCGTCTAAATACACTACGACTTATCTATCTAACCATGGCCTAAACAAATCATTCATACAACGCTGGAATGTGGTAGGCGCGTTGGTCAGTCCAAAGGGCATCACTATGAACTCGTAGTGCCCATATCTAGTCCGGAACGCAGTCTTGTACTGGTCATCAGGATGGACCTCTATCTGATGATATCCAAGCTTCAAATGGATCTTTGAAAAATATCTGCAACCCTGCACCCGATCTAAGAGATCGTCTATCCTTGGCAGTGGCTCAACGTTCTTTACCATGATCTCATTCAGACCCCTGTAGTCTATACACGTACGCAACTCACCTTCCTTCTTGGGGACAAATAGAACCGGTGCTCCAAAAAGAGATGAACTGGGCCTAATCCAACCTCTCTCGAGGAGCTCATCCAACTGCTTGCACATCTCCTCTAACTTCCTGGGGGACATCCTGTAAACTGCTCCCTTAGGAGTCCTACTGCCAGACTCTATCTCTATTTTGTGCTGGATCGGCCGCGACACTTCTCCTGTCGGCGGCTCTGTTAAGTCTTTGAACTCCTCCATGGCAATAACTGAATCCATCGGACTATCCTCTTCCTTAGGCTTAATCAAGGGTTTGACATACACTACGAAGACCTGATCCTCTAGTTGCTCCTTTTTCACTAGTCGCACAAACGCGGGAGCACTGAGACAACAATGTGCCAGTGTAGTCCCCAACACGCATAGTGCGGTTGTCTGCGAGGACACTAACTATGGGTTCTTCCAACTTCTGGACCTTTAACCCTAGCCTTAGCTTTTTCAGCGCTCTGCGGCTAATATAACTACGAGTAGCCCCTGAATCTATAAGGGCCCCCACTCTACTTCTAAAAACCTCTACATCAACTAACACTAGCTGCCCTTTACTATCTTTCCTCATTTTGGCCCAGGATGGCATTCTCTCCTTCAATTCTTCTGCCACGCCTGTGAGGGAAGTGACTAGAGAGACGTTGACACAAGCAGTCTCTAGACATCTAACTAGGCACGGGCCTGCAACCTCTGGCGAAGGCTCATGTGGTGTGGGAGTTTCCTGTACGTGCGCGCTCGCTTCCCCACATGGCCTAGTAGTAGGGGCAATTGCAACCCCTACTGGCGGCTGCCTTTTGACTCCTGGGCAGCCCATCGGGCCTGTCTATACTTAGGACAATATTTAATAATATGGGCCGGGTCACTGCAGTATATGCACTTCCCCTGCTCCATACACTGCTGCCACACTCTCTGGTCCAGGCCTAGATCTTCCCATGGCCGGCCTTGTGGCCAGCCTGGGTGCCAACCTCCTTGCCTTTGAGGTGACCTTCCTTCTCTTCGCTGCGTGGACCGACTGGGACCTTGACGATTTGGCGGGGGACCTTGACCCCTTCCTCCCACTTGACGGTTCCCTTGACTGCCGACCCCCTGTGCGACCGGTCCTCGACATCCCGTGGCCTGGCACCTTTGGCCATGGCCTCCTCCTCTACTTTGCGGCCTCCCTCCAGCCGCGACAGCAGCATAGGTCCTCCCCTGGCCTACATTACTGTCCTCCTCCTCAAGCCCCCACTCTATCTGACTGTAGGGCACCTCGTCTGTACCACCTTCGTCTAAAGTAAGGATCAAATGATCCTTGTCCCTAACTTGGCCAGAGATTGTACGGCCTTTCCACTTTTTGCCCTTATGCAAGTCTTTATGCCAGAAAGTGGAAACTGGCATGGACTTGGCCTCAAACAAGACCACTTCCCTACTCAACGCGTCATACATGATGTTGGGCTGTTGGGTCTTGTCAAAGAATTGCCCTCGCAAGGGCTCTGGCATGGCACAATAGAACAACAGGACCAGCTAGGTCTCAGTGACCCCGTGGTCCGGGATGTGTACTAAGTCGTCCATGACAGCTTTGAGTGCTCGCGCACTCCTCTTTGTCGCGAGTGGATGGTTTGGAGTTTGTCAGAGGCCCTGACGCCCCTTGTGACGTCAGCGAACCTCTCACGCAGGAGTCTGAGAAAAGTGGAGAGAGGGTTCAACCTAGAATATGCGATCATATTATGCTCACAATCAGCAACGCGCGCAAGGGACCTGGCGAAGCGGGCCGCTTCGTCCTTTAATGCATGGAAGGCTACGAGGACTTGTTCCTCGGGAGCAATATGCTGCAAGTACACATGTATTTATGCTAGCCTCCCAGTTATCAAAACTATCGTCCTTTTTCCCGCTATATGCGTCAGGGAATTTGAGCTTTACAGCCTCCTTGCGGGGACGTGATGCGGCCTCTGCCGTGGCCACTACTTTGGCACTTTCGATGGCGCCTGCGCAGAATTTATCTACGCCTTCCTTCAATCTCTTTATCTCGGTTCCGACGTGGGTCACCACGCCGTCGCGCGCAAACTCTCTAAGGCCCGACCGGATGGCATTCAGGGTCACATCTTGACCCTTGTTGGCCTGATTTTCCTCAAGCCAGGCCGCACTCAGAATCTCCAGGTATCCTAGAATCTTATCTAACTTCGGAGGGGTATCTGCCTGTGCCTGAACCTCCTGTTTGCATGCGCGGACTCTCTCCACCTCTCTAGCCACTCGGTTGGCTTCCTCCCTCCTTCGCTTCTTCTCCCTCATCATACGCAACTTCCACTCCAACTTCTTTTCGTCTTCCATTGTCTGACGTTCCAGGGGGTCCTCCATCATTTCCAATACCCCGGCGAATGCTTCTCTCTCCTCCTGCGGCACGGACATCAGTGCCTCTTCGTCTTTGCCCAATGATAAGTTAGCTCTCCACTCGCTAATTTTCTTCTCCATCCATGCGTCCTCCTCCTTCGTGCCACTTGTCTCTCCTCTATCTCCCCCACGCCTCCTTTCAAGGGGTTCTTCTTCTTCTTCTACCTCCTCCTCCTCCTCTTCCTCCTCCTGCAGTATCTTCAACATCTTCTCCTTCTGTAATCTCATCATCTCCTCTTCTAACTTCTTCTTCTTTGCCGCCTGCTCCTCTGCTATGGCCTTTAACTTCGCCTGCTTGAGGAGCTCTTTCTTCTCTTTTCTCTCTCTCAGGATGGCGACGATCCTAGCGTGTTCGGCCTCGGACCGTGGCGCAGTGCTCTTTCCACTACGCGTGTTCACCATGGTGCTAGGTGCACAACTGGATACAGTTCCACTCCTCACCACTTAGACTCTACCCCCTGACTGACACGACCTACTGACTCAATCTAAGGACTTACAGAATCCGGACAGGATCCTGTCAACTAGGGTTTCTAGCCTAGACCTACTCTAAGGCTGTCACTACAGGACTTGTTGCTGATGAGGAGACATTTAAGGAGATCCCCCGTAACTCCTCAAGAATTATTTAACGTCGCAGACAGGACGACGCGATCAGCAGGTCCTCTCAAGACTTAGACGGCCTGTTGTGCAGCCCACAACTCCGATTTTGGGCCTACCGTGCCACACCGAGCAGCCCGCCGGTCAGTACCGGTCCTTGGGAGGGTTCGTGTCCT